TTGGCTCGCCCACCCGCTCAGTGTTTAATTACAGCTTTCTGCTTTAATGTGAAATCCTGTTACAGCTATACATCAAAAATGTGGTGTTTTGCACATAAGCTTGCTATTTGCCGTTGTATCCAAATTACAGATTATCTCTCAAAACAGTTCATCAAACGCAGGGTTCCAGTTGAATTAAAGAGACTAATTGGAGCAACTTTTCACTAACAGTCATCAATAAATAGATTCCCATGGTGTAATTGAAGGCTTTTGCAGACACGTATTGACTTCCGTGGCGTCTCGTTAAATTCCGAGCACGCCCTCCCATCATCCTAATTCATAATTATGGCTGTAGGACGGTGGGGTCACGGGCTCTCATCACGTTGTCACAGCGCCTGTAGAACGGCTTCTGCACAACTGCTTGGAAAACAGTTGACCCAATATGAAATAATATTTGAAGGAACTGTGCTGGCGTCATGTGAAATGCTGCCTCTGATTGCTTTCCATGGGGCACGGCTCATCTGGTAGCACATCTTGCACGCCACGTCCTGTAAATGTGAGTTGTTCGGCTCGGCTCCTCTTAACACGAGGCAAGATACAGGGAGCACATCGCCATCTTGTGGAGGCCGACATTCAGAAGAAGCAGCCTCGGAGACGGTTTCTTTTTCTTTGTAATGACATGCTGCCCTCTGATGTCCATAGAGGGGTTGTGCATCTTTTTATATTAACAGTTTTAGCCATGAGATCAGGGAGAAGAAAGCCAGAGTGTGGAATAATTTCTGATGATATGATGTGAGAGTTGTATAAAGGTGTGACAGTAAATCTTATACAGGTTTCTTGTCCTGGAGTGAATGGATCAACAGGTTTCCCTCCAGCACTATAATTAGAACTGGTGCCAGCTGCTGAAGTATTTGTTATGTTGCCAAGGTTTTGTTTTCTAATGCCACTGTGTCTTGACATCATGTTTATTTTGTGCCTGATGAATTTTTAAAGGGAGAACAAATGAAACAAAGCAGGGCCGAAACTTCTAAACACAATTGGTCTTTCTTTTTTTTTTCTTCTTCGTCTGTTCACTCACATACTTTCACTGCAAGAAGCTCTTGCTATTCTTGTTCAACTGGAGACGTGCATGGTTTCCGGTTTTGTTGCCGTTTGTTTATTTATTGCATTTTTCCTGGTAGTCTGTTGACGTGTGCTGGACCCGGTAGAGGTGACATTTAGTTAAACAACATGTGTAAAATTCACATGTGGTTGAGTGACAAATAAATGCTTAACAAATGTAAAGGACGTGATTGATTTCAGAATATTGAGATCGCATCATGAGGTCTCTCTAATTTTAGAGTGATTTGACTGTGTGACGCCACTAAATTATGTAAAGCCACAGAATTAGTTTAGGCAGCGAAGGCTTTCTTTATGAGTAAAGAATTTTTACAGGTAATTTGGATTAATATGACAGTGAATTTTGTTATATTCATAAAAAATAAAAATGCTGTCTGACATTTGAAAACTGAGCATTCCTTTCACATTTCAATATTCCAATTATCTAAGCCTTCATCAACACTCACATTTACAGCCATGATCAATGACTCCGTGTTTCACTATCTGCAGCAGTTACCACTGTTGCACCACAGATGCTTACTATCATAGAGCAGGAAGGAGCTCTTTCTATATCTTCTTCTTCTATGGTGAACCCTCCAGAAGCCATTAAGGAGGAACGTCACTGCTTTTGTTGCACAGGATACGTGCAGCCCTGTGGCTACCGCTGCTCCCGTCATTGTGTTTATTGAGAAGCAGTGGGGCGAGATGCAGTGTGGGAACGTAGTAGCGATTCAGTTTTGGTCTGTGTGATCCTCCCCTTGTGTGTTTTTGTAAGCGACTACATCGTGTGTCATCTTTCTGAATCACGTCCAAGTAAATGACAAGGACGCTCCGTTGTCCCGCCTTGACGCTACTTATTAGAAACTCCTCCAGTTTTCATTCAGGAGGCTTTTTCCGTGAAGTTTCAGAACTATTGTGTTATGAGAAGTGAAACTCACAGTCGGAAAGTTACGGTTGCAGCCGGTATCAGTTTTTACATCAGAGATTTCACAGTTTAGATTTAATTTCTCTTTACAGATGAGTAGAAATCGTGGTTTAAAATCTGTGCTGTGAGTCACAAAGTTCTACAGATCAAAGGGAAACTAACTCCAGTGAAATGATTTTTTGCGGATGTTCTACCTTCTGTGGGATTTAATTATGTATGTATGTTACTGAAAGTGATGTGTGTTTACCAGCTCATGATTTCTCTCAGTTTCCAATAACAGGTAATGTAAAAGAACTATTGAGAGAAGAACAATCTCAGATACTTTTTTTTCCTATTTTGCAGTTGTAATTATCTTTTCACGCAGTTATCCAGCTTCATTGGGTTTTATTAATCCAATCTGATGTCTCATAAGGATATTTATATCTTCTGTACAGCTGTGCAACTCTATAGTTGTCTCTTGTGTCCGTTTGCTTACCATAATTTGTAAATGTCCATTCTTGACAGGTGATATGTCCCCACTTCATTCAACTTTTCATGCATGTAACGCACAGTGACATGCATGTAGCACCAGGATAACAGGTTGAATATAGCTGGAACTATTAACCAAACAAGATATAGTATGTCCCAAAAGTGAGTACACACTGAAGAGAAAATGTCCAAATTGGCTCCAATTAGCCATTTTCCCTCCCTGGTGTCATGTGACTTGTTAGTGTTACAAGGTCTCAGGTGTGATTGGGGAGCAGGTGTGTTAAATTTGGTGTTATCGCTCTCACACTCTCATAGTTTAACATGGCACCTTATGGCAAAAAACTCTCTGGAGATCTGAAAAAAAAAAAAAAGAATCGTTGCTCTGCATAAAGATGGCCAAAGATTGCCAACACCCTGAAACTGAGCAGCAGCAGCACGGTGGCCGGGACCATAGCAGGACAGGTTCCGCTCAGAACAGGCCTCACCATGGTCCACCAAAGAAGTTGAGTGCAGAAGGTGGAGGAGAACGAGGTCTTTAGTGTCCAGCGGCTCCGTGATGTCGTCATGGAGGAGCGGAAGAGGATTTCAGTTGCAACCTGTGAAGCTCTGGTGAACTCCATGCCCAAGAGGGTTAAGGCAGTGCTGGAAAAATAATGGTGGCCACACAAAATATAGACACTCTGGGCCCAATTTGGACTGTGGCTGTGGCTCAGGTGGTAGAGCGAGTCAGTCAATGATCGGAAGGTCGGCGGTTCGATTCCGCCCTGCAACTTCACCCACCTTGCCTGGTGTGAATGCTGTATGAATGGATTGTTTGAGGTGGTGGTCGGAGGGGCCGTAGGCGCAGAATGGCAACCATGCCTCTGTCAGTCTGCCCCAGGGCAGCTGTGGCTACAATTGTAGCTTACCACCACCAGAATGAATGTGTGTGAATGAATAATTGACAGTGTAAAGCGTCTTTGAGTGTCCAGAAAAGTGCTATATAAATCTGATCAATTATTATTATTATTATTAAAAATTTTCTCTCATGGGGTGTATTCATTTTTTTTTTGTTCAGACATTAATAGCTGTGTATTGAGTTACTTTGAGGGGACAGTAAATTTACACTGTTATACAAGCTGTACACTGACGACTTCACATTGTAGCAAACTGTCATTTCTTCAATGCTGTCCCATCAAAAGATATAATGAAATATTTGCAGAAATGTGAAATACCGTATATACATTCTACATTTTATTTCCCCAAAACAATAAATTATTTATCAACGCTGACCATCTATTACAATTAAAGGCTCTTCAATCTTCAAGCTGATTTGCCTTAAAGGACATCCTACTGTAGCTTCATTTTCAACGTATTTCTACAGAAACGATTGCATTTTTCAACCTTATTTCTTCCACGCTTTCTATGTGCTGCTATTTATCACAGGTCTGTCATCAGAGTTTATCATGAAATGGGGGCTCAGGCATCAGCATGCTGCACAGTGTCACCGGGCACCGCGGCCCCCTGCCATGATGCCAGATGCCACCTCTTTCTCACACTGACAGTTAAGGTAGACCAGGTTGTTGGCGAAAATGTCGAGTCCGAGCTCAATAATCAGCTGCCAGAACAATCAATTTGTATCTCCGTTTTTATTTTTATAATCATGAAAGAGTGAAGTGTTGATGCTTGAGCAGTTTAGGCAACAATATCTGATGGTTTATGACACACTGTGAAGGAGTTGTACACAGTTTTTTAAAAATCCTAATAAATCGTTCAAACATTTTTGGACATCATTTGAGGACATCTTTTAGAAAGCAATGTTACTTTTCTGTTTTACTGTCATCCATTGTGTGTTTATACTCCAGCCTTGACGGATACATTAATGAACATTTAGGTCACAAATATTTCTTACGACAATAAAAAATCTAGAGTGTGTTACAAACCAGTTATTAAGGGTTTAGATATGCTTGATAATGCTAAATAAAAGGACTTAAAGTAAAGTGTAGCATTTTTTATCATTGCACCAGTGTCCATGGGTTTAAAAGGCACCAAAAAAAAGTCAGAAATTTGTTTAACCACAATCAAATCTGCAGCCTGGTGTTGTCCATGTTGCTTCCAAAACTGTAGTAATGCGTAAAACTAACCAGTTCCTCCAATTTGTACAATTTATTTTCCAGAATATTTCAAGGTTTTGTTGAGCGATTGAATGTAAATGAATCCCTCGAGGTGTGTACAGCACAGCAGTCATACATGCAGTCAGTCGGTTTTTTCAGTAGCCACGTGTCTGCCTCGTACGCTTCTGCATGTTTTCCATCCGTACAACATTAATTAAAGCTAACAAGGATGTGAGTGATGGATGGATTGTGACTCCGCTCCAGAGACTCCACTCCACGACTTAGATGCAGCTCCTAAAGTCTGCTGGGCTGCTCTGAAGGGAACAGAGCTCCACACACACACACACACACGCACACACACACACTCACGGCATGGGGAGGAAGTATAGTCTGTGACGAGGAGGAGGATCAGTGCAGAGAGAGTGTGGAGAGTGTCAGAGTGTGAACGAGGGCTGAGAGAGTTCCGTGATGTGACGTGTGGACGGCTGCTGCTGCTGTTGTTGTGTGTGACATGAGCTCAAGTGTGTGGAGAAGGTGTCTGGATACCTGTTTGCTGCTGCTTTCATTTGCTCCACGGAGAGGGATGGATAATCTGCAGAGTAACTTTTTATTTAACACAAGTTTGATAGGTAACATTGGTGTAAACGTATTAACATGTAGCTTGAATAAGTCATGCATTGCTGCTCAAGCGAGGGGAAAGTGTGTGTGATTTTTTATTTTTTTATATTTGAAGTACTGTGTGAGTTTTATGTTAAGCGTATGAGAGGTGCATGTGTCTAATGGTGCGTCCGATAGTGTGTGAAATTCACTTGCTCGGTGTGCCTGCGTGAGCGTGTGCACTGCTGCGCCTGTGACTCTAACACTTGGGTGTGTTGCGATGTGTCTGTGGTTACATGTGTGATGCTATTGTGCCGGGTAGTGTGTTGTGCCTGAGTGCATGTGTGTGTCGGGGCAATGTACCGGCGTTCACCCTGTGCCAGAGGAAGGGTTCATTTTGACTTCAGTGAGGAAGTCATCAGGAAACTTCACGCCGCCAACCACGTCCATACTCACAGGTTAGGACACGCGGATAACCACACACACACACACACACACACACATTACTATCATGCTGCAGCACACTTAAACAGAAAGAAATTCCTGTTCCTTTGGTTTTCAAGTCTTCTTATGTGCTCTGACACCAAGTGCTGACTTACCTTGTCAATTTATAATTCAGGAAAGTTGTTTTTAAGGGTTTTCTCAGAGTCTTTGAACGCCTTGCTTTTGCTGTGTGTTTGTCCAGGATGTACTCAGTACTTCCTATTTCCCATACATTACAATCAACTCATGTGTTTCTAATCATTGCAGCAGTCAGCTGGATTACTCACGTGTTTGGCTGAGAAAATCCAACTTGTGCCGACTGAATGGTTTCAGGATGCTTTCGTTTTGAATAGGTTGCGTGCCGTGTTTGTGCAGTCAAGAGTCAAGTAGTTTGCCATGCAAATTAGTCTTGAAGTGTTGCAATGAATTTGTTTATTATCTTGACACTTTTTCTAGCAGCAGTGTAAATATAGTCCGGTCTGTGCAGCACAATCACAACCAGATGACCTGAAGGATATAAACACACCAAAAAAAAAGAAGAAAAAAAGGAGTCTGTGATTGTCTCAGCCTGTAGCAAGTATGGTAAATTTGACTCAGTTGCCATGCGGGACTTCTTTTCTGCCTATATTTTTGTTTTTGAGCTCAGAATAAGTATCTAACTCATTCCCCAATCATTACCGCGTGAACTTCCCAGAGCCAATATGTGTTTCTTGAGAAGTTGTTATCTAATCTGGAGGTCATGGGTTACAGGATGATTAACAAGAAACATTTAAGCTCCACAAAATTGTTCTTTTTTTTCTAATCTTTGCCTTTTTTCTCATAAAAAAGCTTCAGTCTTACATCTTCAAGCCTCTAAAATCCGTTGCAACGAAACATCCTGAAACTCAGACATGTTGTGACGAGGGGTCTGGACGGGACGTGGTTTGCCTATAAATTATCACAAGCCAAAATGGTTTGAAGTTCCAGCTCATCCAGAGTACAAGGAAGCATATTTTCCCACATATCAAAATGTCACCAAACCAAGTCTCTGGACATGGCTCATCACCATGTAGGGATGCTGTAAATATGAGATGATGTTTTTCTACTGTAATTTTGTTGAACTGATATTTCAGGAATGTGATAGTAGTTGTGGTGATACAGCTGCACCACAGTGCTCTTTTAGAAACATTTCTGGGATAACACCATCAGTGGAGGGCATTATATGGGAAAGAATGAAGGTTTTGGCAGATTGGCCTCAGGAGGGATACGCGGGCTTAATGACGAAAATCAAGCTTAAGTCATTTGTTTGGCTGGTTTGTTTGATTTTATGTCACTTGCGCAATCTGACAGTTTATTTTCCTACTTGATGGGTTTCTGATACGGCACAGCTGGGATTTGTGAGTATGGAGGCACTTGTCCAATGAGACGGAGACCAGACTGCAGACAGTCAAAGTAGGGACTGTTTCTATACCAGAAAGTGGTTTCAGCCAAAACACTTAGCTTTGCAGATGTGCGTCGCCCAGAGTAACAGCAACTACTTTCTGTCCCTTTTCTTAATTTGGTTAAAGCAACATTTTAAGCAATTTTTGAAGAAACAAAATTCCCCACCATGCAGCAGTGAAGCACTGTGAAGTCCCATTATAGACAATAATACTACGCTGTAAGTGTGCGGCTCTATAAGCAAAGACAGTTTATCATCATTAGTATTATTTGCATTTATTTTATGGACCAGGAAACACTGATATTCCTCCCATTTCTAAAAATCAATGGACATTTTGTGCACTGATCCAACACAAATATAACTACAATAGCGTATAGGTTTAGATTAATAAACTGCTTCTTATATATTTTATCTATGTATCTTATACTTAAGCGATCAGATAAGCTTTTTGTTACAGTAGCACCATTACTGAAAATAGAGCTGAAAATCCCCGATAAAACTCCCAGTCATGATCTACTTGATAGGCCAGAACACACCGTATTTGAAACATTGCTGAAATTAAAACTCAGTCAATAGCCCTGATTAAAGCTTTTCTTTTCAATGATTTCACTGTAGAAACCGTAAATCTGTCCACGACAGCTCAGCTGCTCAAGATCATAAAGACACATCAGAACATGTTATTCACTCCAGTTGGCTCCATTTGAACCCCTGGACATGACTTAGAGTAACATCTATAAAGACTGTGACACTCATTCTGCTTTGTTACTGCAAAGAAATGAGCAGCACTGATGCATGCTGACTGCAGACGGTTTCTAGGAGGAAATAAACTGGTGTGAAAAACTTGGCTGGGCCTCACTCTAGGACGACTGCAGGTTTTCTAGCTCAGCCGGACACGTCAGGCTTCTGTTAGGGCAAGGTTTAGGGGACGTCATGTGACAAAAAAGTACAAAAGATAATGATGAAATGAACACATCCAAATTAAGTTTAGAAACTCAGAATGACTGTCCAGCAGCATAACGTTTATGGAGCAGTTTAGAGAAGTTTGTGTGATTTGAGCGTTCTGTCAACATAATGCTTCTTTAATCTTTTAACGCAAAACTAGCCATGACTGCAAAAATCTAAAGTGTAATCATGGATGTCTGGAGTCGCTGAGGTCTGGCGACGTCGGCCATCCACCTCTGACTGGGTGGGTTCCACCTCTGTGACCGAGGGTTTCCTGTGGAAAGTACTGGACTATACTGAAGAAAGCAGAAGTACACAGATGGTGCACTGTGCTGCGCTGCATATCTGAATCATTAGACAGGTAGACGAGACCCACGTGAGCTATGGGGAATAATTAGTCCGTACCCGCTTCCTCCCTCTGCCGCATGAATGTATGTTTGTTTGCCGCATAACATGTTGGCACACATGCATCTGTCCTGCGCCATTCAAGGTGGTGTGTGTGTGCATGAATTAGCCTACATGCTGTTATATGTCCCAGGGATTGTTTCTCACATGTGCAGCAGATAATCTCCCACAGAGATGGGCTTAACTAAATATTTGGTCAGTGACCTGGATTCCTGGCATCCTAACAAAAGATCATAGCTTCTTTTATCTATAGAGAAGGTTTCCTGGGTGCTGGCTTCCGTTTTATTTTCAGCCTGTGGTGCCTCGTTACGTCAGATCAGACCTGTATCGGTGTCAGACGGTGACTTTTGGGAGAAGAGAGTCGTCCCAAAGAGACAAAAACCTGTGGAAAAAGTACAATTAACCAAATTAAACACCTCTCAAAGGTTTTTAATGTTGTGCAGCTCACTATGTTGGAAACTTTTAAATGGTAAAAGAGAGCAGTGTTGGATGTAGCATGACTGTAACAATCATCAGACAAAAAACAATGTGGCTCAAGTTGAGCTGTTGGCAAAATGACCCTCAACTGCCTCAAAATATCATCTGTATGTATCAGTGCAACATTTTATATGAAAAACCTGAACACAGCTGACCCTGGAAGCTGCTCCTTCACTTCATCTTATATTGTGTTACATGTTAAACAGCTGCAAGCATTTGAAACGGGATTCCTCTTTCAGTTTGGTGACCCATTTTTCTCTCCAGCGCAGGACTCTGAATAACAGCGTGTTGTGCTTGCTTGCCCATGGGCGGGGTGCAGAGCTATGTTGTAGAGCTTGTGGTTCAGCAGTATTTTTATTTGCAGGTCGCTTTACTCGCAGTGTAATATGTTGTTATGGAGATGCATAGGCAGAAAAAAATGTTTGGCGAGCGCTGGTCTGCCGCGGTTATGCTGGTCGGGGGCTTTTGATTTCAGAGCGACTCGCCAAAACTGAAATTAGGCGCCGCTGCTGTGAAGTGGGTTTGATGATGAGAATGGTGATTATGTCCATTAAGATAATGACAAGGAGGATAACAAGTGGTAATGCTGGTGGCTCAGGGGGCTCACAAGGATTAAGGCAATGGCGAGCCGTGGTTGGTGATGATGATCATGACGGTTAGGAGCAGCACGTTAAGGGTTAAGATGATGGTGCAACGCCTTCAAAAATGTGATAGAAGGTACAAATAAGTAAAAATCCTGTATTCTGACTTCCACCTAAAACTGTATCAGCAGCAAAGTGCACAAACAAGGAAATGACCTCACCTGCACAAACTTTGGTTAATAAAATATGGGGCATTCATCAGTGCATGAGGAGCGTTTCACCACAACTAGAGCAAGTTTTGTTCAATTTAAGCTCAGTTTACTTTTGTTTAGTGCAGATTGACATCATAGGTCATCTCAGGATATTTCACATTCACGTCAGGACCTTAGAATCCTATAGAGGGAAACCTAATGAGTCCCTTTGAGCGAGCAGTGGGTGAAAGTAGAGCTTGTTTATATTATTCCCAGTGGCTTCCAACCTCAGGGTCCTGCCCCCCCTCCTCGGTCACAAGATTAGTCTGGGGAGCTGAGAGAAGATTAATGGAAAGAGACGAGAATTTATTTTTATTTTTTTAAATTTAATTTTAAATGAAATGTTGTCCTCTTTTGGCCCGGAAGAATTACTCAAATGAACCCATGTGGGACGTTTTAACCCCATCTCCCAATAATTACATTCTTATACAGCTGGGCTACATTTAAAGACACATAATTTCATTTTGAAAGAAACAAATTTTCCAAACTGTGACGTATTAGGAAAGCAGTATTGAACTCCACAGAAGGCAATAGGAGGAGGATGGAGGCGCAAGTCAGCCACAGAACCCTCATTATTCTTTAAATCAGGTTTTCACTAATTGATTACTTCCAAATTTGTTGCATTGTTTGGTTCGGTTGAGACACCAGAACTACATAGTTAGGGTTAAGAAAATATCACACTTTGGTTGACACCTTCACAAAGATAATCTGGTCAAAGCTCAGTGAAGTTTAGGCCCCATATTACTTGGTTAGTTTTTCCCAGTTTGGGTTGAATTGTGACCCTTTTAAAGCATGTTTGAAGCTTCTCCTTATCTAGTGTGAGATCGGTTGGCTGAAAAGGAGCTACAGTGAAACAATGAAATAAATGTTCATCAGAAATGTACTTGGAATATGTCACA